GACACAGTCTGAAAGTACTCCTGGAATCCCGGAACTCGCAGACCCTTGAAAATGAGGATGAAGGCGCCGGTGCTGGGGTGCACTAGGCTAAGCTTCCTCCTGAGGCGCTGGCATCCCACACGGGCACAGGTTCATGTCCAGGGGCCGATCCAGCTCCCCGATATGACCTGAGAAAGTGTTAGGGGAAGGCCCAGACGCTTCGGCTCCTGCACCCATGTGGAGACTTAGAAGAAGCTCCAGCTCCAGCCAATGCGGGCATCTGGGGAGTGAACCAGTGGATGGAAGGCCTTTCTCTGTGTTGTCTCTCCCTATCTCTGTAGTTCTACCTCTCAAATAAGTAAAGTCTTAAAAAAAAAAAAAAAAAAAGAAAGAAAAAGAATGAAGCCTTTCACTGAAGTAGGGTTATGGGATTTGGGAGCTAGAATTTCTCAAGGATATACCAATACAGCCTGTTTTATTAATCCTCTCGTGAATCCGTTTCTTTCTAGGTGGACTGAGTTTGAAAATATTGCGGCATTTCTTAAAGCATGATGTTGAATCCAAAGTTGGGACAACAGATACACACGAACAGATTCTTACTCTACGGTGGATGAGGAATAGCCCTAGGAAGCTGAGTCACAGCAAATCCTATCAGACAGGGCTAAGGCACCCACATGTTTGATTCAGACTGAGTCATCAACAAATGTAGCACTCAAAAAGCACCTGGTGAGCCGCACCTCCAGAGTACCCTGACTTGGACACTCTGTGGCTCATCAGTGTGCAGGCTACTGCCGGGGACCCTGAGTTCTGGGAGGAACAGGGAGTCGGGGTCTATCTCCAAATAGCCCAAACCATTCTCAGCAGCGGGGCCTTCCTGGCCAGCGTCAGAACAGAGGCCTTACCCCCTGAGTCTCCCGGCGATGCTTTCAAGGCTATGAGGCAGCGTGAGATCCTTCCCCACAGGGCAGTGTCCACCTGTGATCTGGACCCGACGCTGTGGCGTAGTGGGTAAAGCCGCAGCCTGCAGTGCCAACATCCCACACGTGCATGGGTTCTAGTCCCGGCGGCTCTACTTCTGATCCAGCTCTCTGCTGTGGCCTGGGAAAGCAGTGGAAGATGGCCCAAGCCCATGGGCCCCTGCACCCACATGGGAGACCTGGAGGAGGCTCTTGGCTTCTGGCTTCGGATCGGCACAGCTTTGGCCATTGTGGCCAACTGGGGAGTGAACCAGCAGATCGAAGACCTCTCTCTGTCTCTCCTTCTCTCTCTGTTCAACTCTGACTTTCAAATAAATAAATAAATCTCTTTAAAAAAAGAATACACATGTCTGGCCAAGGCACTTTATGAAATACTGATGGGTACCTCAAAAACTCCGTGGAAATGGAATTGAAAAAACTTTATTTTGGATACTGGAGGGGGTCTTCACAGAGTTCATGGGAAATGTGTATCCTACAAAAATGACACAGGGACACCAAAAGTTGCTGCACCAAAAACCCATATCTTTCAGATTCACTTTCCATGAACCTTTTAAAACATCCTGTAACAGCAAACGCAAAAAGTATTTAGGTGGTATTTTTAACTAACTGATAAGACAAAATTCATCTACCACATGCATTTTTCCATTTTTCTTTTCATTTCTTTCTTTCTTTCTTTTTTTTTTTTTTTTTTTAAGTTGCAGGCTAGCCCTACAGCCTCTCCTTGCTTCCACACTGTGTGAAATGGAGGAGGCCAGGGCTCCCTCCCCGGCCCACTCCAATTCCACCTCCAGCACCACCCAGCTGTGTCCACCCACTTACTCCACTACCTAAAACAAACTCATCCCGGCGGGCCCAGCCAGCCATGCCCTACCCAGGGTCTGCGCTCATCTTCCATGCCTCGGGCGAGGGCTCTGTCATTGCAACAGATACTGGGGCAGGCAGACCAGGGAGCTTCAGGATATGGGGAACATGAGTCACCTCAAAACATGTTTTTTCTCCTTTAAATCAGAAAGAATTACCCTGCTACAACAGAGAAGAGTCTGGAAAACGTGCTGCTGAGGACCAGGCGCCAGGCACAAAAGGCCGACCCTGTTCTGTCCCACCTGTGTGACGCGTTCACAGCGGGCAAACCCAAGGGGACAGAGTTCGACTAGTGCTTGCCCTGGGCTGGAAGCAGAGGGGAACGGCCACTTTGTGGGTCTGGAGTTTGCTCCTGGGCGCACAAATATGTTCTGGACTTACAGAGAGGTAACGGCAGGGAGCTGTGATGCAGTAGAAAACAACTGGACACCGCATTACAAGGCTGAGTTGTGGGGTTTGTGACCCCTGACTCAGTAGAGCTGTTACTAAAGAGCACTACCTAGATTTCAGGAAACCCCGCCCCACACGCTGCGTGCTCAGGCTTCCGAGTGACACACTGCAGACGCTGGGGCCTCAGCGACCTTGAGTCTGCCACGACGCCCACACCCCACTTCCCTGTCGAAACCCCAAGCTCAACTTTAAGAAACGGCCCATTCCCCTTTCAAACTGCCTGGAATCCCCTGCCGGTGTGGTCTCTGTGCACCCCTGCCCGCAGGCAGGAATAGCGCTCTCAAGAGCACCTCACGTAAAAATCCCAGGAGCACTTCCGGGATGCGAGCTCAGGGCTTCCGTCTGCCTCTCGCGCCGAGGGCCAGCGTCTCATTAACTTCTGCATGCACACACTAGCACAGGGCTGGAAACAGACTTCCAAAGACAGTCTGTAAAAACATGACTTATTTCATCCACAAGGAATCCAATGCTACCGTCACATTACCTTATCTAGTTGAATCTTCTACAATTCAACCACTGGCAACAGAAAACATCCCAAAATTGAGAAATCAGATCTTGAGTGCATTGCTAAAATAAGTAAGTTGGACCTTTCCATAGGGAAGGCAGAGTTTTGTATTATTATCAAAAATCTATAAGTGCACCGGGAATCAAATATGTAAATCCAGATGCTACCTCCCACACACAAGGGTAGATTTATATAGACCTATATATATAACTCTTACAAGACTCACATGTTCACAGTTGCGTAAAATCACTTTTGTTACAATGAATTTTGTTACAAGAGGGTTCTCCAACCCAAAGCCCTTCTCTTCCAACAAAGTTCTATTTGGAGCTTTATTTTTTTTTTAATTTAAAAATAACTTTCCTTTTTCTAAGACTGGAGTTACAGACCTCAGGTACCTGCATGGGTCAGCAGCGGTGTGGACAGTGTCGCCTGAGGGCTATCCCTGGGCAACAAGCTGGCCCCCAAGTCTGTCTCCAGGAAGGCAGCTGCGGCTTCAGGGGTGTGTGATGAAGAGCATCTATTCACAGAGTATTTTCATACCTGTAAATTCCGCACTGTTTATCTTCCAAATATGTGCCTTGGCTCCAGCTGATCACCGCTATTAGGGAATGCAGGCCTCAGCCTGCCAGAGTTGATTTCCAAAGAAGTTGGAAATGGGAAAATTCAGACTTGTACGTAAAACTCGTAATTTCCAAAGTTGGCTTCCCTCAAAACTTAACACCTGGGGCAGGCCAAGGACGCACAGCCGCACGGTCTTTCTGACTCACAGGCCAGCCAGCTGACCACCTGCGATCTAAGATGTGACGTGCGCCTTAGGATTCCACAACCAGCAATCTCGTTCCGTGAAGAAAGCTCTGGGTTGCCGATGCAGCCACGCTCCCTCCTGCCTCATCTGTTAGTCCCTGTTGCTCTCTCAAACTTCCTCCGTCTCCCGAGTCTCCAAAAAGGCCGGCAGTGTTCCTCATCCAGGGTGCAAAGTGCACCAGGCGGAAACAAGCAGTCTGCCCGTTGCCTACCCCGTCCCGCGGCCACGTCACTCGCAGCATCAGGCAGAACAGCACGGCACAAAGGACTACCCAGCGGCCACAATCAGGGCCGAGATCTGCCTGCTGGGTGGGACCCCCCACAGTCCTGGGGGGAATGTCCACGTCCTGCACGGAAGCCACTCACCTCCCAGCTCTGAAGGTGAGCGACACCCCCGGCTCCAACCATTGGCCCCAAGTGCAAAACACCATCTGCTTAATGCCCGCAGGACCCCAAATGGATTACAGAACTGGCTTCCCTTCTGAGCCTGGCACTAGAGAGACACTTACCAGCCCCCAGCATGCCTGAAAATCACCCAAACCACCCGAAGCTCCATCCAGTGTGGCCCTGGCATTTCCACGGGGCTTCCCTGAACTCGGCACAACCCTCACCTCCCAGGAGCGAGTGCTTCACCAGGGGCTGGTCGGGCACTGGGCCTGGCCATCTACTCACTGGCGACGCAGGGCCTCGAGCAGGACAGCCTGGAGGGGCTTTATAATGCAACTGTACTGCTCCTGCCACACACGCGAGTCCAGGCTTCCCTCACGTGGCCGGCAGAAATGCCATGCTGGGCCACGTTCCTCCCAGATACCCAACAGGGAGACACCGACTTGTGGCTCGACCACCACTCACCGCACTCCCTTTCCTAAGCATAGCAAACATGTGGCAAGGCCAAATGATAACCCATTTTTAACAGCTCAGTCCTTACAAATAAGTGCAGCGATCCAGCAAATGAAGGTCTACAAGATATTCCAGCTGGGAAACACAGCACACAGCACGGCTCTTGGCTCGCGGTGGGGTTCAGAGCCCGAGCAGACACAAGCGACTGCGACGCAGGCCAGGCACGCTCTTGGTGAACGCCACGGCCGAGTCCAGTGTGCGCGCTGACCTGCACTTTGCCACGTGAACACCAGAGCCCAGGCACACACAGGTCTGCTGTGGGGACCAGAGGGGCCTGGAAACCAACACCCCGCACGCCCTTCTGAGAGATTCTGTGCCCTCAGCACCTGCCGAACAGCAACCTGCACACGAGAGCACCCAGCAAGGCCTCCAGGTGCTGTCTTCTCCGATAAGGAGCAGGCTAAGTCACTAGTAGCTTCTCTAAGGAAAAAAACCGGTTGGTTCCTTCCCTTTCCACGAAGCTGAGTATCAGACAGGCGTCGGACACACTGGTCCTCAGGACAGAAAGCCCGCCCCGTTCTTACCTCGGCCGCCTGGGTCTCCTGGTGCAGCAGGGTCAGACCGGTCAAGTCTTCCAGGAAGGAATGTGACGAATTAAACACCTTTGCTAGGAAACCGAATCCTTCCTGCTCATACTGATCCAGAACCTGCAAAATGTGGACATTGTTTTAAAAAGGAGCTGGAGATTTTAAATGCATATGAAAAAGCTTTTCGTTTCAAATAAGCACTTGTCAAAGATGGCACGACTATGAGAATTGAATACGGCGTGGCAACACAACCCGGAGGATAGCGTTCCAGTTTCCTTTCTGAGGAGGACTATCACGGGCCAGATCAAGGGACACGTTTCCTCAAGGCACGTGTTGCATGCAGGTTCATCAGATTCTGGAGCACTGGGCTTACGGCTTCTGAAGCTCACTTCTTAGAAAATAAGTAACAACCTAGGAAGGAGCCAAGAAAAACCTTAAAAAGACAGCGGGAAGGAGGAAGACAAAAGGAGTTCTGTTCACCGAGGTGAAATGCGAGCTGCCCAAAGGTTTTTTAAAAAATAACCAAAAAAAAAAAAAAAAAAAAAAATAGGGTCCAGCGCTGCATGTAGCAGGTGAAGCCTCTGCCTGCAGCTCTGGCATCCCATAAGGGTGTCAGTTTGTATCCCGGCTGCTCCACTTCCAACCCAGCTCCCTGCTCATGTGCCTGGGAAAGCAGTAGAAGATGGCCCACGTGCTTGGCCCCTGCACCCACACGGGAGACTTGGAAGAAGCTCCTGGCTTCTGGCTCCTGACCAGTGCAGCTCCGGGTGCTGTAGCCATTTGTTGAGTGAACCAGTGGATGGAAGACTTCTCTCTCTGCTCTCTGTAACTCTTTCAAGTAGATAAGTAAATCTTTACAACAATGTTTCAAAAATTAAGTAAAAAATGGGAGAACAACTTTCAGAAGACACTTCGCCAAGGAGGATATCCAACAGACTGACGCAGCAATGGAAACATGGTCCAGGTGACACGTGAGCAGGAAGAGAAAACCGAAGCTGTGCTGAAACGTGACTCAGTCCCTGACACGCGTGAAGTCAAAGAGAAGACATGGGCGCTGACCAGGATGCAGCACAGCCAGGACTCCAGGAGCTGTGCACAAGGAGGCAGCTGCTTTAGTTTACACACTCTCTCCCTGTGACCCAGCAATGCTCCTGCCAGAAACACACACCAGCATATACGTGTACCACAAGCCTACTTCAAACAGCTCATGGGAAAACAGGGTACAAAAACTGAAATCTGCTCATGGTTTTCTCATAATGCACAGCTTTTCACAGCCCCTTCCTGTGGGCAATGGAGGACACAAACAGAAGTGGCCACAGTAACAGCATCCATGATACCCCCAAAATGAACACGCACCTGTATCCACCAGCGGAAGTGGCCACAGTAACACCATCCATGACACCCAGAACAGGGACACGCTCCCGTATCCACCAACAGAAGAATGAATGCAGGAACCATGGCACATGCACGAAGTGGAACAGTTTGCAAACGAACCACAGCCGTGTCCAACAAACATAATGGTGCACACAGGAGGGAGAAGGAGCATGTACTGGGGACTTATACGCTGTGAAGTTTTTAAACATGCATTTGGCGTAGTGATGAGTGTGCACTCGGGATGCCTGCACCTGTGCCAGGGTGCCTGGGTCAAGTCCAATTCTAGCTTCCTGCCTATGCGTACACTGGGAGGTGATAAGTAATGGGTCAAATACTTGCATCCCTGCCACCCACTTGGGGGACATGGATAGAGCTCCTGGCTCTGGCTTCAGTCTGGTTCAATCCCAGCTGGTGCAAGCATCTGGGGAGTGAACCAATGGATGGGACATCATCTCTCTTTCTGTACTTCAAATAAACATTAGAAAGAAAAATAAAGGCCAAGCGAAAATATGCTGTTAACTCTTGTGGCTACCCCTGGACAGACTGCAACTGGAAAGTGAACAAGAACCTTCCAGGGTTGCCTGCTTCTTTGTCACAGTCTTGGTCATGTAATACTTTTTCAGAATTCATCAAGCTGAATGATTAAAACTTGTTCACATTCTGCATACATGTTATCTTTTAATAAAAAGACCAAAATATAGAAGGTCTACAGTCTTGACAAGAGAACAATATGAAAACAATAGCGAGTTCTTAAAAGCAACAGAAAGTGACCAGCACATTGAGGAATCCAATGATCACAGGAACCGTGAACTGTAGAATGTAAACAATGAAATTCTCCCAGAACAAAGACATGGAAAAAGAGATGAGTATTTTAAAAAGATAGCAGAATCGCTTCTCGGCCTTTTGGCTAAGATCAAGTGTAGTAAAAAGATAGCAGAAACTGAAGACAAATCTAAGAAATCAATGACACATGAATAAAAAGATTGGAGAAGCAGTAACATTAGAAACAGAAAAAGCAGTTTTTAAAGGGGTGGGTGTCTGATACATGGTTTGGGGTGCTAGTTGGGAAGCCCACATTCCATACTGCAGTGCCTGGGTTCAAGTCCCAATTCTGTTTGATTCCAAATTCCCGATGGTGCACACCCTGGGAGACAGCACACATGGCTCAAGGACTTGGGTCCCTACCAGCCTCGTAGGAGGCCTGGATGGAGTTTAGGCTCCTGGCTCTGGCCTGGCCCAGCCTTGGCTGCTACAGGCATTTGGGAGTCAACCAGCAGATGGAAGCTCATTCACTGGCTCTCTCTCTTCCTTCAAAGAAATACATTTGTAAAAATTTCAATCTCTTTCAGAAAACAAAGTACACGAACCCTTCAGGCCAGTGATTCTACTTCTAACACCCTTTACAGAGACCCCACTGTGTGTAAGCACAAGAGTTGGATGTCATGAAGGTGCTCACATAAATACGGCTTTGAGTACTAAGGACTGGAAACAGCTACCCTTTACCAGAGCCTTGTCATGTTACAATGTGTTTACCATCAGTGGCATAGCTCCATCTATTCAAACAATGAGGCACAAGGTGTCTTCCAAAACAGCAATACATTTAAAAAGCAATATCCAGACTACATGTACAACATTTGTGTTTAAAAAAAAAAAACAATCAGTGGGTGGGGGGAGAATAGGAGAAGGAGAGAAGAGGGGACGTGAACACAGGTATATGCTTGCTAAAACCCATATCAGCAGCTCAGGAAGAACACACCCACACACATGCGCACACACACACTCACACACATACAAATACACACAGGCTGGTGTCACACTGTCACCTCTGTATATGCTGTTCTATAGGTTGAGCATTCTCACCTGGAAACACAAATTTCAAAATGTTCCAAAACTCACAGCTTTCTGAACACCAATGCCATGGTCCACGTGGACAATTCCACACTTGACCTTGTAATAGGTCGCACTTAAAACACAAGCACACTACCTTCAGGCTACATGGATAAAGTGTACAGGAAGCAAAGAAATTTTGTGCTTAGATATTTATCTGTCCCCAAGATCTCTCATTATATAAGCGTCTATGCAAATACTTCAAGCTCAAAACGTGTCTGGTCCCGAGCATTTTGCAGAAGGGAATTTTTAGAACCATGCCCTGGCTTTACTCGTATTTAAATAGCAGGAAAATCTTCATCTCGCGGGGTGTTTCCTCCATGTTGCAGAACGAAGTCAGGAGAGGCGGGAGACGTGGGAGCCTCCTAGAGGTGGCAGGTGGCAGGCAGCCTCCCTGGGACAGGAAGTGCGAGGCCTGAAAGAGCAGAGCTGTTGCACACAGGGCACAGGGCAGTGGGGTCTCTGGAGTCTGCACAGCGGGCACCAGGTCACCTGCTCCTCCACGGCCGGGGCGTGAGGGAGCTGAGCACTGCCATGGAAGTAGTGCTGAGGTCCCTGGGTCACCTTGGGTGACAGCAACTGACGGGCTAGCCCGAAACAACGGGGAGAGAGAATGCTGAAATGATCTCTGCACAAAGAAACGACAAGGGTCCACAGCAACGGATCTGCCAGCCACCCTGATCTGACCGGCACGTCCTGTATGCAGGCATCAGTGTCACTCTGTGCCCACAGACTTACCCAAGTACCATGTGTGCCGGTTAGAAATAAACACGTGTGTAAGAAGGAGACAGGAAAGGTGGGAACTGCCTTTGCTACCTGAGCTTGCAGCCAAGACCTGGCTGGCTGGTAGGAGGGCGGTGGCCCACCCCTCACCTGCCTGGGGTCCCCCACACAGCACTGTCCACTAGCAATCAGGAGGTCACAGAATCTACTCAGGTACAGCATTTGAAAAGCCAGAGAAATGAAACACACACATTTCAAAAGTGAAGGCACACACACACACACACACACCCTGAGGCCCCAGCTCAGGACAGAAAATACAAGTTTTGGGCAAAGGGCCATGAAGGCCCCTCCTGTGCTTGGGGCCTGGCAAAATGAGAGGAAGAGGAGAGAGCCCAAGCCCGGAGGGCGGGGCTGGTGAGACACAGAAGCTGGGCACTGCCCGGCCAGCAGTGAGCCCCCTACAGGCCGGCGGGGACACAGCCAGAGAGCTGGAGGTCCAGGGCACAAAACCCTAGTCTTGGGTTGATTAGCGCAGGAAATTAATTAGGTAACCCAATGCCTGGGTAAAAACATGTTTAATAAATAATGGAATCCATGTGCAATAACGGGATTCCTGACAAACCAGAGTGTAATCTCAGGAAAAATATGTGTGCAAATTCAATTATTTTTTTGGAAATGACGAACGCACGTGTTCAGTCAACGCTTATTTCTGAGTGAACCCCTGAGCTCAGCCAACGGCCACTTTGCGTTTAGTTGCCCCCACAGCAAACCAAGGAACAAGCTTGAAAAATGGGCCAAAACCTTCAGCACAAGCTGGAGTGATTCCTGACCCGAGACTGCAGGAGGTGAGCTGCACTCTGAGCTGTGAGGCACGGGTTTCCAGGGACAACTGCATGCTGCAGAGCCGCCAGCGGGAGCCGGAGCTGCCAGGGCGGCAGCCAGGGCGGCCGCTCCCACCACGGTGCCCGGGCAGCTGGACGCTGGCTGCTCCGCGCCCGGCCTCCGCAGTCGCACAGGGCTGCAGCGTGCTCCGCGTGTGCAGGAAGCTGGTCTGCGGCTCGAGAACAAGCAGTGTATTCCCCCTCGCAAACAGATGACCTCCTTCAGGGGGAAGATGTGCTGAAGACCGTCCAGAA